AGTTACTTTCTGTGAGAGAGGTTTTAGGGGTGTTCAACTCTTCAGACGTCTGGTTCCGTTACTGCCACTGTGAACACACTGTGATCTGAGTTGAAACAGAGCATTTCATGTCACACCAGTCAGAATAACGTGATCTTGTACAGAAATGTGAAGTCAGTGGAATTCACCCTCAACCCTCTTCTGTTTTACTCTAACTGCTGAACTAGCATCCCCTTTTACCTGCCATACTCTGCTGTGTATGACTGTTCAGGAGCTGATCTGAGATTAGCTTACACACTTGCTTTGCTACGCGAACAGACTTTGATCTGTTGACCGTTTGACCTTGGGCAGTGATGAGTGACGCTAACTCTGCTTTATCAGTAGCTCACTGTTAGTGTGATGTGTTTGTGTGTCTGAGTGAGTGTGAGTGGACAGTTGTAGAGTAGTGGCATAAATCTACATCTATGGAATATGTGATTCAGTGTAACTGTTGATGTGATATATTTGCCTAATATATTATGTAATAATGGTGTTGATGTGAAATGTGTGCAATATATGATGCAATAACAGTGTTGATGTGATATATTTGCATAATATATGATGTACTAACGGTGTTACTGTGATATATGTGTGTAATGTATGATGTAATAATGGTGTTAATGTGAAATGTATGTAATACATGATGTAATAATGGTGTTGATGTGTGTAATATTTAATGTAATAACGGTGTTGATGTGATGTGTGTAATATATTATGTAATAACGGTGTTGATGTGATGTGTGTAATATTTAATGTAATAACGGTGTTGACATGATATATGTATGTAATAAATGTATAATAACTGTTGATCTAATATATATGTAATATATGATGTTATAACTGTATAATACATTTTATTAATGTGCAACCAATATTTACAGCTGACTTTATTGAGAGAGAGAGAGAGAGAGAGAGAGAGGGAGAGAGAGAGAGAGACAGAGAGACACAGAGAGATGTGCTTCAGTAGCATTCTTTTAAACAATATTACGTAAGGTACTTCTTAGCTTTCCATGACTGCCTCTTGTGTCATTTCTAAATAGGGTGACCGTGAAACTATGAACTACTGTGAGTGGTCACCAAGCTAGTGGACAAAGGCCTTTTAGTGTAGGATATTAGTAATATATTGTAATATACTGGGCTATAATAATAGTATATATACATACATATACACACACATGCAATCAGTGTGTCCCTTACATATATCTATATATGTTCCTATATGTAATAAGTTCAATATGTATTATACATGTGTAAGAAGCTATATGTAATAATATGTCTCGTGTGTGTTATACACATTTAAATGTCTGTGTAAGAACAATATGTCCCATATGTATGTGTGTCTTTGTAATAATAATAATATGTACATCATAATATGTAAGTACACATATATGAGTATAATGTGCTTCATAAGTATTAAATACATGTACAAATTAATATGTAAAAATAATTCTTGCATGTCCTGATTTTAGTAAATGAAACACTGATCTTTTCTTCACATTTTGCACCAGAGTGAAGATGCCTGTGTGTATTTGTGTGCGTGTTTATGTAATAACTGGTCATGTGGGCAGTAGTTAGACCTGTCAGTAAAGCTAACAGTCCCTTTAACTGCCACATCCTGTCTGGATGCATAACAGGCCACTTTGCATCGGCATCTGAGTGTGATAAGCTTCCGTATGAAGCTGTTGTTTGGTTTTTCTATCAGAGTAAAGCAGCTGCATTTTCTACTGATATGAGAGTCTATAATTAAAACGCAGATAGAGCCTCTTTTGCTTGTGACACTGTTATTGTCTTTTTGTCAGCTGTCTGCTATATTTTTTATCTATTGCATATTTCAGGAGCACTAGCTGTTATTTAACGAAGGTATTTAACGAATAACAGTTAATTACTATTACAACAGCAAACTTAATTATGTTAGACAATATATAAACACAATGATATTTAATGGATCCAGACTGAATGAATAACCGACTCTAAATGTAGGTATTGTGATATAAACTGAGTCTGTTCTACAGTTTCTCATTAGGTTGAATGAATAACTGACTCTAAATGTAGGTATTGTGATATAAACTGAGTCTGTTCTACAGTTTCTCATTAGGTTGAATGAATAACTGACTCTAAATGTAGGTATTGTGATATAAACTGAGTCTGTTCTACAGTTTCTCATTAGGTTGAATGAATAACTGACTCTAAATGTAGGTATTGTGATATAAACCGAGTCTGTTCTACAGTTTCTCATTAGGTTGAATGAATAACTCACTCTAAATGTAGGTATTGTGATATAAACTGAGTCTGTTCTACAGTTTCTCATTAGGTTGAATGAATAACCGACTCTAAATGTAGGTATTGTGATATAAACTGAGTCTGTTCTACAGTTTCTCATTAGGCTGAATGAATATTGATGGCCTTTTTGTCTTATCTATTAAACCTAACCTTCAGCCCATATCGCCATTGTGTCATATCAAGCCCAGAGTGCCTGAGCAGTTAGCAAAAATAGGTCAGAACTGTTGATGTTGCCACATTTTTAGGTTGTTTTGCTGTTCCTTGATGTGACACTAAGACGAACTGACACAGTTTTCCACTTACCACAAATATAGACAGTTAGCAAAGGCATTTTTGAAGTTCACTTCTTGACATTTGCTTATTTGAACAGCTCAGCACGGAAGGAAAGGGTGTGAATATTAAGCCATGCAGTTAGCACAATGCTAATTTGCAACGGGAAAACCTCAGGACCTTCTAGGTCTTCAGAGAAGGCCTAACGACAAGTGTTGTACTCATTCTCTTATGTCATTGTTTGCCAATGTCCAATCAGGACTGTTATCTAGGTAAACATAACCAAGCGAGCTCTCCCAGTGGTTAGGACTTCAGGAGCCGAACTGAAGGCCTTACACTTTAGATTAGCTACCAACATGATTAGAAAGTGACAGTGGAATCAACCAATCACGTTTTGGTTTACAATCTGACGGACCAATTTTGTGACAAAACTTCTTCTGGAAGTTCTAGATACGTTACTGACTGTGAGTTGTAGTCTAAACAGGTTTCAGGTAGTTGTTGTGAACGGCAAACAGCGGCGGGTATTCACAGTCAATGATGTATCTAGAACTTCCAGAAGAAGTTGGACGAGTAGCTGAAAACCATAGCAGCCATCTTGAGTTTGTCTGTACTTCTGTCCAAGCAGTAGACTTTAAAATGCCTTTGCCAACTGACTATATTTGTGGTAAGTGGAAAACTGTGTCAGTTTGTCTTAGCGTCACATCAAGGGACAGCAAAACAACCTAAAAATGTGGCAACATCGGCGGTTCTCAGTTATTTTTGCTAACTGCTCTCCACTTTCTAATTATGTTAGTAGCTAATCTAAAGTGTAAGGCCTTCAGTTCAGCTCCTGAAGTCCTAACCAATGGGAGAGCTCGCTTGGCTGTGTCTACCTAGATACTACGCTGACTGTGAATATGCACAGCAGGTTTCAGGTAGTTGTTAGGAAGGGAAAACAGCGGCGGCAGCTCTAAGCCAGAACTCGTCACTGAAAGAGTCACTGTAAATATAATGGCCTAAACCTTTAAGGCCTGGCTCCAATAGTCACAGCTAATTGATGTTATTTGTTAGCTACATTAGCCTCGTAGCTCCAGTGCAAAGCTAAATAAGCAAATTTAGATGCCAGACATGCCTTGGGTGATTGGATTTGGGTACAGGAGGAAATGTATGATTTACTCAGAATCTAATCAGATAGATCTGGATTTTTAGTCCACTGCTAGCATTTCGCTACTAGCTGCTTCTGCTATTGGCTTCAGTCAAATTTAATATTTTTTACCTTTTTTTTGTCTTTCTATGCCTTATTTGGGACACACAAACTACACACACCACACAAGGTTACCTCCTCTTCCTCATTGGGTTTAGCATAGAGTTAGCATAGCCTCCTATTATCTTATAGTGAGGTGCCTTGGCTGCTTAGCGACGAAACGAGGCAGGCCCCTTATTGCTTCAGGGGTTTTGGCCCAGGGGAGCTAACCAGATCTCCCTGCACACACACACACACACACACACACTTGTCTGTGCTCCGTGAACTTAGCACTACTGCCCGTCGGTACTTTCAAGCTCGTTAGCTTTCAGACCTTGAACTTTGTGCATATTTGTGCACGTTGCATGTACGTGATGTAAAGAACCGCTGGGCACACATAGATCTTCCAAACCTGGAGTTCAAAAAAGCACCAAAACTACCACCGTCAGATAAACAGCACTTAAAGCTTTCGTCTCTGAGAGAGAGGAGAAAATCAAGCTGCTTCAGATCTGAAAACATCCACAGGTGTTTCTGTCCATCCTTCCACTGTGAGAAGACGACTCAGCGCTGTGGGTCTGAAAGGATGTGTAGCTGTTCAAGAAGAACCTCACTGAGAAAAGGAGACGGACACATCAAACAAAGAAGCTGAACAATGGACTGACCACCCCAGAGTCCAGACCTCAACACCACTGAATGTGTTTGATTACTTCAGAAAATGATCAACCAGCTTCTGAGACTGAACTTTGGAGGTGTGTCTGCAGATTCTTTGAGGGACTGAAAGTGAGTCTCCTGAAAAGAACGGAAGCTGGAATAAAGGCGAAGAGCGACTCACTGAACACTGAACAACCTGGTCTAATATTTAGTTGTTGAGGCTTCTGTGGACTTTTCTGTTAAATATGTTTTTTTTCCAGACACTGAGAAAATGAATAACTTGTTGTATTCAGTGGCTGTTTTGACTGGAAATTGAATGAGGGGTGGTCTCTGACTTTTGCACAGTACTGTACGTGTGGGTGTGCTGGCATGAAGTGTTCTTGGTAATGGGGGGAAAAACACATTCCAGGGCTGCCTCAGAGAAGTCACTCACACACACACACACACCGGTCGGTCGGTGTTACTGCGGCACGATTTGGCTGCAGCTAAAGTCCAGGGGGGAGGGCTCTCTCTCTCTCTCTCTCTCTCTCTCTCTGTCTCTCTCTCAGTCTCAGCCTCTCTCTCTCTCAGGCTGGACTGCTCTGCCTCCTCGTTAGCTGTTAGAATGCTGACAGGATCGTATGAGACAGGCTCGTCCAGGGCTGTCCTGAGCGTGCATGCGCTCGTGTGACGTGTCTCCTCTCATCTCCTTGCCAATTGCGGACTTCTCACTTTCCCATTTTCCAGCGTTTGGACCATTAGGTGAGTAGCTGTTGCTAACTCAGTGTGGGCTGCATGCTAGCAAACTTTTCCATATACAGTATGCAAATGAACCTGATGAAAATGGGTCTTTCATATGCGCATATCTTTTGTGTTGACTTACTGGCACCTCATATGGCTGTATGTGTTTCAGTTCTGCCCTCTACACTGTGCTTAATATCACTGATGCTTAAGGAAAATGTGTCGGCAATATTAGGGGTCCAAGCACCAAATGCACCAATGCATCCTGTTGTTTTTTGTTAGGATTATTCTGCTTATTAGTATTATGAGGGCTAATTGAGTGAGTATAATAGCATCCATGCGGGCGCACTACTAAACCTCCTTATGGTTTTGTGTCAGTATTGAGTATTATGGGTATCAATATTACAACATAAATCTTAGTGCTGACCTTATACTTTGCACTTCATGTGTACATAATTAGTGTCTGTACTATTATATACACACTGTATAACTAGACAAGTAAAAACATGCTGTTTATGGGTTCATAATTAGGCTGTGTAGGTGTTTTAGGCTTTGAATTTGTGCCATGCATACTACGGTCAGATTCACTGACCACCAGTAAGTTGTGTAACAAGGAGGGATCCATATATCAACTGCACGGAGCACGTCCTGCGGTTGGCCGCATGCCAGGGCTTCCGTGACGTTACCGGAGGAATCTATTGAACATTCTGTGTGAGTTTACACACTCTCGCACGTCACCATAGCAGCGATAGATGGCATGTGTGTATGTGTGCGCCATACCCCCCCCATGCTGATGTGTCTTTTCACAAGGACAGTTACAACTGCTGGCTCATATGTTGGTACATTGCCAGTACAGAATGTTACTGATAAGAAAAAGTGATATGTAAGAATATATTAGTCCTCCTTATATGCTAAATAAGTGCGTTAATGGGAATTATCTTAAAGGAATACCCCACTGTTGCTTAACCTAGTCTTTACCTGGTGCTTCCAAAGCATATAATCGGATACCATGGGCAGTTATTTTGGCAAGTTCTCATGTAATCAGTAAAAAAAATGGAAATCAATGACTTAAAAACATGCATGAATTCAATGTGCACATACTGAAACACTTTCCAACTGGCTTCTGTTTTAAGTGTATATTACAATAATAGGTTATTTTATTTAAAAATCTACCACTAAATAGCCAGATGGCCTGCTCAGCCTATCTTACATGCTGCCTGGCTTGGATGGTATAGACATTGGGATATAAATGGCAGGGTAACATTTAAAAATGGGTACAAAGACAAGATATGTCACATTTTACTTAAGCTTTATTGCTTTTTTAATAAAATATACACTCATTCCTAATTTGAAGCCTGTATCACGTTCTAAAAAAGTTGAGACAGGGGTGATTTAAAACTAGGAACACTGTAAATACATAAACAGGTGATGCAATTATGATTGTATATGAAAGGAACATCCAGACAAGGCTGAGTCCTTTTTGAGCAAGGATGGAACGAGGATTACCAAAAAAGGCACTGGATCACTGCACGGGCTCAGGAATATTTTGACAAATTGTCGTCAGTAAACACTGTCCTTCACTGCATCCACAAATACAGGTTAAGACTGTACTATACACAGCAGAAGTCATATGTCATTTCAGATTGTTTATGGAAAAAAATGTGTTTTCCAAGCAAAGAAAAAAAAGGACCATCCAGACTGTTACCAGTGTAAAGTTCAAAATCCAGGGTCTGTCATGGTATGAGGGGGTTTTATTGGTTAACCTGCACATTTGCAGCATAAACACTGAACACATTATGGAGCAACATGTGCTGCCTTCTAGGCGCCGTCTTTTTCAGGGACGTCCATGCTTATTTCAACAAAACACCAAGAAATATTCTGCATGAGTTACAGCAGCAAGGCAGGAAGGGATAGCAATGTAACACAGTAGGAAACATGTTGCAGACGTCAAATTTGGAATGAACATATCACTGCTGTCAGAACAAAACCTTGTATCTCCGTTTTGTTTTTCGTTTTATTACATAATTTGAAAATACCTGTTGTACTTTACATTTTATGTATATTTCATGGTGAATGGACCAAGAGATATGGCCCAAAATTACTTGGAAAAAAGTCTGGTTCCATTCACTTACATTAAAAGTAACATACATTTTTTCCTTCTCCTGTAAAGAACAATGAAGCTCAATAAGGTAAAACATACAATATTATTTATTTATTTTTTGTACTGTGTTAAATTGAATACAGGCCAAACAGAATTGACTAATCAGTGTTTTCTGTTTTTATTAGCATTTCACACAATGTCCCAGATTTTTGGGAATCAGGGTTGTATACATATTTATCAGTGTATATATTATAAAGTATTTTTCTTCCAGAAAATGTTTTTTTCTTTTAGTAAAATTAAAAATATAATAAGTGTTTGTATATTACCACAGAAGGCCTCTGTAGAATTCTAAGCTCAAATCAATAAACGATTACGATCAAACAACATACGGTCATTTGTATCAAACGTACATGTACTCAGGCATGAACCTCAATCATTGAATCTATAATTAAACTGAATATAAGCGTCATATTTACTGTCATTTGTATTGCGAATGTGAACAGTCATGGTCCTATATACATGTAAGTCACTGCATGTATATCAACCCCTGCCAAATTATTAAGTATCTGACCATTATGACACTATGTCATTACGATATATGACCATTGTGGTCATACACAGACCACTGTCCATCTCTGGCAGCATCTGTCCATATTTATTCATTTATTTTTGCTTCTGTAATCAGAGTTATTAGATTTTTTTTTAAATAACTCTACAAAGTCAGTCACGGTCACTTAGTGGCCACTGCTTGTTGAAAAAGTGGCTTTTCAAAAGGCTCGAGGCATATTTTTAGCAATGCTGTGAAAATGGAAGCATCCATCATTCCCTCCTGTAGCTTTAAGAGATATAACAGAGCTTCGTGGTTAGGCAGGGCTGCTGGTGATCTGGTGGACTGTGTGTGGTGGGATTAGAATGATTTGGCGCAGAAACGCATTTCTAGGATTTGATTTCTGAGGCTCTTTTTGCTGTGCTGTGGCATCACCCAGGCAGATAATGACTAAGCAGATCGTCCATCTCTATGGCAACCGCTCGGATCCGGGAGAAAAATAGCAGGAGTGGCGTGAGCTCCCTGAAACACGACGTGTGAAACAGACAAAACTTATACCAATACATTTAACCCTTAGACGCCCAGAGCTGTGGCTGCAGGGTGTTGAGTGTTTCTGCAACTATGGGCTGTTTTGACTGTCCAGACTTTCATAAACGCAGTAAAAATGTCTTGTCCTTTCCACAACACAGTGTTACAGTAATGACACTGGTACTGTTTTTTGAGTATAAACCAAATGACATGGTGTATTATAGCTTTGGTAAACAACTTCTAATACAGTCGCATGCAGATGTTTGAACATCCCCAGGTCAAATAACGTTTTGTTGATTTTCTGAGTGAAAATAAGTTACCGTGTCATTGCAACACATCCTTGCCTGATGTTTCCATCAAAAGTAGGTTTGTTTAGCTTTATTTTCAGTCATTTGGTCAGTGTTGCGGTAAGGACACATAAACGTGGGACAGATATATTTACAGAAAAGAAAAAAAAAAACATGAAAGAAGCTTTTATTTCAATATGTTTTGACATTTATACAATGCAATTTTGTAATTCCGTAACTTTTCATGAGTTGGAAGATTAAAATTATGGGTGTGGAACATTTTTACGAAACCATATGCTTCATAAATCACTTAGTTCATTACAGTTGGCAGAAATGTTGTGTTATGGTACTAATAAACTATTTTTTATGCTTGGCGCCAAAAAATGTGTATCCAAAAATCCACAGCTGGGAGCTAAAAGTGCCCGCATGTGTGAAAACATCAAGTTATGTAACCGTTACGTACTTTTACATTCTGCAAGGACAGATCTTCTGACTTTCTTATGATAAATGAAATGATAAAAACATGGTAAAAATGTAAAAGATTGCTTTTTCCCACAATACATTTCCACCTAGTTCAAATCATAATAAAATGTCTCGTCTGCTTACAAACACAAACGTGATGTGGATATTTAGAATCTGCACTTTCCAAAACGTTTTTATTTCAAAGAGCAACAAGACAGAAATAATTCCAATAAAATTCCTAAATCCAATAACAGGTTTTTGTTATCTAGTGGCTTTCGAGGGTTAATATGTAATGAGTTGGCCTTTGCAGCACTACTTGAACCACAGGGAGCATGACTGACAGCTGTAGAGTCAGTGTGAACTCTGCCCCCTTAAATTCACAGCTATTAGCTTTGTGCTAACAGCACTGATTCATTTGTTGACTGTGGTTTCCGTGTGGGTATCAGATATATGGCAGTGTATGGATTTCAAATATAGGACATATATTAGCATACATGGATTTCACTTATATCCAACTTCTATCAGTCACATATAGACATATATATGACAACTTATTTGAAATATGTGGGACATATTTCAACATTCAGTAATGCATCAACATATCGCTGTTGTCGGAAGAAAACCTTATATCTCCAAAATGGTAACTTTACAGGAGAAGGAAAAAACCTACTTTACTTTTAATGTAAGTCAATGGAACCAGATTTGTTTCCAAGTAATTTTTGGCCTTTTCTTTTGGTCCATTATTCAAGAAATTTAAAGACAATGTAAAGAGTAACAGGTACTTTCAAATTATGTCAAAAACTGGACACATGGAGATACAAGGTTTTCTTCCGACAGCAGCGATATATAAACATATATGTGCAACACCCTGTCGATTACATGGTCTAAGCTGGTTTATACTGGTTTGTGCTGGTCTAGTGCTGATCCAGTCCTGGTTTGGCTGGTCACCCATTATGGTCATACATCCAAAACACAACATATACTGGTTTTGCTGGTGATCAACATAATAACTTGCATTGCTGGTGACCAAGGCTGGTCTTTGCTGGTTTGGACATATATTTAACAATACATGATAGTAAGCATTAAACATATATGG